GCAGAATCACATATAGATGAGTAGGTCCATAAATTACTCTTGCACCTCTCTTCAGCAATGATGATTCTGCAGTAAGCTTCTTTTGTGGATCTAACCATTAAGTCTTTGGCAACTATATTCTCGAGTTTCAGTAATATTTCATTAGCACCAAGAAACTCCTTCACTTAATATCATTTGAAAATCCCAGTCTTTTTATTTAATCTTTCCCAAATCCTAGCCACAGGCAGACTGAACCTATTCTAGTTTATTGATCAACAGTATGATGTGATGTGTTCAGGATCTGATCTAAATCTGAATAAAATTTCTAGCCCAACAAAGGGTTAAGGGTTAGTGCTTATTTTATAAAGAACAATTCCATTGTCCAGTTAACAAAATGTAATCCTTTCCTTTATGGTAATGCAAAATATAACCTGTGACCTCACTCCCTCACTCCCATCCCTGAAGAGACCACACATTAATTAGGCACCAAGAGAAATGAGCTTCGAGTGAAATACTACTGGAAACTTCAAGATATATCAGACCAGAAGAGAAGATGATTCAATATTTGGGAAAGCATTATAAAAATAAAATCATAATAATGGATACATATTTGACCTATTTTAACCCCTTAATTTAAATTGTTCAAGGTAAGGCTTTGTGATTTAGATTAATCATAGTTACCTTCCAAAGCTCATCTTTTTGTGTCCTACATTGGCCCTGTACATACAACTTCTTCAGCTAAACCATCAAACAACCTCTTAGAAGCCGAACGACTCATAGAAATATTGTAAGTATGTCGAATATTGGAATTCTTTCCCTCACCTATAGATTGCTTTCCTCTGTCCTGAGGGATGTAGGTCTGTATTCCTTCTAGTCAGAGATGTTTGAAATAAATGTCATAGATTATTTGAATTTATAGGAATGAAAATTTGGAAAAACTACTTCTGTAGGCATGAAAAAGAAAGAAAAGTTACACTGATTTCCTCCCCCCACCCCACAACCATTTAAAGCTTTTATAGCTTATCCTGAGAATACCACCTCTCAGTTTTTCTGACTTTTGGAAAACATTCTGTCCACCTGTTCTGTTCATTCTTGTTGCTTCTCAATAATTCTTTTGTTTATTGTTACTTATCTTTTTGGGATTTTTCCTCAGAAAAAAAAAAAGATGAACAATAAAAATAATAAATAATAAGCCATGAATAATAACTAAATACTTGTGGCAAGTTTTAAAAGTGATTTTTGACAAATAAAGACATGTGAGAAATACAAGATTTTTTTCATGATATTTTTACTGAAATAACTGTATAGTTAGTAGAAATGTTCTACCAGGTTTGGTCATTTTTCAGCTTATCTGAGCAGTTTATGCCCCCAAATTTTCCAACATCTCTTCCAACTGTAGAGTCAATCCAATAAAAGATATAACAAGAAATTATTTCTCCTTAAAGTAATTATCATTTTTGAAAATCAATTTTGCATACTCAGTGGGGTCTATATTTCATTGTCCACAATATTTTTTTGCATAAATTGATATGGTTAAATTAGAACCCAATAAAATCCTTAAGAAATTCATTTTTTTTCTTTCATTTTGCATATCTTGCAGTATTCAACATTGATCTCCATGTGGACTCTTCATCCTTGGAGGTTTTTAAGACCCATCTAGACAAATCCTTGGCTGGGATGATCTAGTTGGAGATGGTCCTGCTTTGAGTAGGGGATTGGACTAGATGAGTGCCTGAGGTCCCTTCCAACCCTCATTTTTCTACAGTTCTATGATTCTATATGACATCCTATCACCTGTTCACCAAGCTTAGTTAGATATGCAGAACTTAACCTTAGTCATTATGTACTGTATGCAAAATTTGTAATGTCCCCACTGACTGTTTTGTCTGGATCACATATTACACAAATTCTTGTATGGAAACATTTTTTAATATATATATTAGGTAACTAGTAGCATGGGACATTGTTAACAATACTGGTAACATTTCACCCTGGTGAAAATTTCCTCTGAATCCTTCTTTCTTGTCTTCTGTCTCTTATCCATTTTTGAATCTATTATTTAACTAGGTCTTTCATCAATGAGACTTTTTTTTCCAGATTGTAGCTTGCAATTATGTTAACAAATACTGCTTGAAAATCTTAATAAATAGCACTTAAAAAGGGTCACAGAGCAAACACATTAATCTGTTGGCAAGATACCTAGAACCGGAGCATGTTATGATGGACCATCTTGATTTCATTTTAGTACTAGGTGGCAGCCTTTGTGGATGGGGGGAGAGCAGTGATTGTAATATTACTTGCCTTTAGCAAGGCTTTTGACACTGTTTCCCATAACATTCTCATTAATAAAGTAAATAAATATAATCTAAACAGAAGTAGTGCAAGGTGGATATATAACGGTTTGGATCATTATGCTCATGGAATAGCCATCAATGTCTCAATGTTTACTTAGGTGGAAGTATTGAGTGGAGTTGCTTAATTTGTCCTGTGTCCAGTTCTGTTTAAAGTCTTCAGTAATGATTTGGAAGACAGAATCTAGTTCACAATTAGCAAATCTGATGATGGCACCCTCCTGGATAGATTAGCAGAAACTTTGGCCAAAATGAAAAGCCTTGAAAGGACCTTGAAAAATGAGAAAAATGGTACAAAATTAATCAAATGAAATTCAGTAAGGACAAATACCAAATCCTGCACTTAAGACAGACCAATTGCAGGCACAAATACAGATTGGGGAATGACTGATTAAGGTGCAATACTACAGAAAAGGTTCTACGGTTTATAATGGGCCATAAACTGCCTGTGTCAGTAGCATGCTCTTTGAAAAAAAAAAGTCAC